ATCTAAGTAACTCTCCTTGTATTTAAAGAACTTACAACCTCACCCTCCTCACAAGCTGCATTTTAACATGAGCAAATCTTCCAAAATTATTGATGCAAATAAGGCTCTTTTGCTGGAAACCAAGAAGGTAGTGGGTTCTGGTTCAAAGAGAATAGTTTCCAACAATATAACAAATGTTGGAACATCTACTGGAACATCCAGGACAATGAAAAATCTGCAATCAAGGTGAAGTCCCTCAAGGAAAAATCATGTGCATATACATGATTCAAACTCAGATGCTGATAAAGATTGAGTCAATTTCATTTACTCTGAAGGTTGTGTTGGATAGCTATTGTACGGTATCTTTTTTATTTTAAAAAAACAAAAAAAAGGTGTGTTTTCTGTCTATTGAGTTAGTCTTTCTTAAGTGTTTTCTGTTTGAGTATTTTGTTTATGTCTCATTAGTTTTTGTCTCTTTGAAGAGATTTTTGTCTCTTTAGGTCAAGTCTGTTATTTTTATTTTTATTTTTTTGTCTTTGGTCTAGTTAGTTCCGTTTGGGCGAGTCTATTTCTTTTGTTGCTTCTTTTGAGTCATTTTGATGTTATTATTCATGTATCAAGTTATAGAGTCAATTTGTTTTCTGTTTGTCTTGAATCAATTCTTGCTTCTTTTGATTCTTTGTATCAGTTTCTCTTCTACTCATTTTTTGTCAATTTTTCTCTAAAAAGGGGGAGAAAAAGTGTTTGTAGGTCTAGGTTAGTCGAGTTTTGTTTGTTTTATGCAACACTTTAGGGGGCGTGATTTTCATGTCATGTGAGTATAAGTTTGTCTGGTTTCTGCTTTTGCTGCTACTTCTGTTGTAGTTGTTTACAGGAATCCTACTTGATGTTCTAGCATCCCGCGTGTCTGAGTCCTGTTGTGTCTTGTGTTCGGAGTTATGAGTATTATTGTGTCTTTTGCTCTGAGTTATGTGTGATGCTTCTGTTGCATGTTCTTCTAATATTGAATTTTTGAGAGGAAGATTTATTCCTCTGTGACAAGAATTGGTTGTTCTCTTTAGGGGGAGTAACCTGAATGGTTTTGAAGATGCAAGTCATCTTCTTACTCATGTACAAAGTTTACATATTTAGCATGTAGCTTGTGTTTGTGTAACTGTTATATCTTTGATACATGTTTTTGTGCAGTTTGGTTTGTGGTATTATTCTTTGTGGTTTTATTCCTCTCTCCATTTTTATTGGGTTTTGGTTATTTTAGTCAAAATTTTCCAAAGGGGGAGATTGTTAGTTCTATAGTTTTATGATTGGCTAAATCTTGGTAAAATATGGTTTTATACTGGTGTTGAGCAAGATGTTTTAACATCTTCATCAACTCTCATAACAATTTTACAGTTATGTGTTTTTCAGCAGATATTAAGTCAGATGTCGTGAGAGCTCTGCCTACTATACAGCAGTGAATGTTGTGTATTTTATTGACAGATTTAATTTGATTTTTTGTGATTTCTTTTGGATATATCTCAGTTGTTTTTGCAGGTCAAGAAGATTTAATCTAGAACAAGAAATTTGATTTACAACTGTACAAAAGTTTCTATTTTAGAAACTTAAATATTTGTTCCAAGATTTAAGGAGATTTTTTCTTCATAATTGATGCAGCCCTCAACTTGTGGATCAAGATATATTTGTGTGAAGATTTCAAATCTCATGGACTACTGAGGTGTATTTAATAAGAATACCTAACCTAATGTAATTATAACTTTTCACAATTGTAAAATTAGGGGGAGGCTAAGTCTTAGGTTTTGAGAGTCTCTCTTGTTCTTGTGGTATAAGTCACCCTTGTATATTTTGATACGTTTGGTCGAAATAATATTCTCACTCAGAAGCCTTTAGGTAATGAGTTGAGTATTGTTCTTGGATGAAACTTTTAAGCAAATCCAAGTATTGTTCTTAGTTAAGAGTCTTAACTAAGTATTTTGTATTGAAGGTGTAATCTTCTTTTTGAGTTGTTTTTGATACAGTCACTGGGATTGGGACTATTAGATATCACTAAGGTGATTTAGGGAGTGAGATGGTTATTTCTCATATCTAGATGACGATTTCTAGGTAGATGTTACACTGGGTAGGGATTAAGTGAGAAGTTATAAACTGTGGCTATTTAGGTTTTGAATTGTTACTACTAATAGTGAATTTCCTTCGTGGCTTGGTAGCCTCCGGATGTAGGTGATATTGCACCGAACTGGGTTAACAACTCTATGTGTTATTTATCATTTTGTAGTTTAGTTTCAGTATCAGTTACATCTTGATAAATGTGTTTAGTGTGTCAACAGATGTTGTAACATCTGTAGTGATATTATTTTGATGTTGGAACATCAGTATTAACATGTGTTGCCTGTACCAGAAAATTTCACTATTTTAAATGAGAAGATCTTGCAGTTATTTTTAAACGTGAATATTGGATCCATTTAAAGAGTCTAAGCCCATACTGCAAGAGTCCATATAAAGGGACTTGCTATAACCTAAAAAGCAAGCATTCACAAGAAGAAATCGTGTGTGCAACATAAGGGTTTAAGGTTTTGAGAGTCTTTTAGGTTTTTTGTGTTTGTGTTTTTTGTATGTCACTCATGTATCTTTGATATATTGAGTTGACTGATTGTTACTTGTTTATCAAGTTATTATTCTCACCCATGAGCTTTTAAGTAAAGGATTGAGTATTGTTCTTAGTTAAGAGTCTTAACTAAGTATTGTGGCTTAGAAGTATAATCTTATGTTTTGATACTAGTTATTATGATTGTGACTGGTTTATAGACTGTCACTGAGATTGGGGCAGGTCTTTTATCATTGTGGTAATTGGAAGTGAGAAATTCTAATATCTAGGAGGTTTCTAGGTAGAAGTTGCACGGGGTAGTGATTTGGAGAAAAGTTGTAAACTGGAATTATTTAGGATTTTTACTAATACTATATAGTCGATTTCTCTCATGGCTTGATATCCCCCAGAGTAGGTGACGTTGCCCCAAACTAGGTTAACAATTGATTGTGTTCTTTAAATTTCTGCAATTTATCTTTCTGCACAATCAACAATTTTAGCAGGTTTTCTGTCAACAAATGTTATAACATTTATCCTGTCATCGTGTTACTGTGTCAAGACATCGGTCTTAATCTTGTATTACAGTGCCAGAATGTCAGACTGAATATATATGTTTATCATATTTGAAGGGTTAAATAATATATATATATATATATATATATATATATATATATATATAAGGATATAATTATTTATATATAGAAAAGAGAGAAAAAAGTGTCAATATGTCACTCAGCAAAATAATTAATGGAATAACTAATTGAAAATGGAAAAATAATTGAAGTGCTCTTTAATATTTCAATATATTTTTTATTTTATTGTAGCTAAGGAGATCATAGAGGTCTTGTTGGTTGAGGATGTGGTTTAGGATTCCTTGATTTGGAAGGAGGAACAAGATGAAGAGTACAATGTAAGATCTGTTTATAGACTGTGGCGGAAGCTACAAAAGAAGAAGAGTGAGATAGGAGTGGTAGGTGATTGGGATAGTCTGTGAAATATTATGGTCCCGCTGAGAGATAAGCACTTGTTATGGAGAATTTGTAGGGGTTACTTACCGATGCGGACGAGACTCTGTCATTATCATATCCTTTGCCCTCTGACTTGTCCGACATGTGAGATTGAAAACGAAGAAGATTTGCATATTTTCTTTGGTTGTAGTACTACAGAGCAGAGTTGGCAAGCGGCAGGTTTGTTTCATATTATTGAGCCCCGTTTACAATTATTTACCGATGCTAAATCCTTTATCCTTGATGTATGTAGTAAGGAGGATAGATGGGAAGCCGGGTGCTTTGCTATGGAATCAACTCGCTTTCGAAGCATAGAAATAATGTTGTTTGGAATAATGAGCGGGAAGAGGTATCGAGAATTGGTATGCAAGCTTTGTATAACTAGCAAGATTGGTATTCAGCTCGTAAGACTCATGTATCGCATAATCCTAACTCCTCTCACAATCTTGTAGTCTGGAGTCCACCAAATATAGGGTGGGTGAAATATAATGTTGACGCTGGGTTTAATAATCAGTTGAAAACGTCTAATAGGGGATGGTGTATGCGAGATAATATGGATAGATATATTACAACATAAGTAGCTAGGAATGCCGGTCTTTTATCTATCATTGAAGCATAAACTTTGGCTTTAAAAGAGGCTATTCAAAACATCATCAGCTTGAATTTGGATGCGGTTATCTTTGAAAGTGACTCTCAACTTTTGGTAAAACCATACATTCTAATAATATAGGATGTTCTGAATTTAGTATTATTGTTTCTTCTATTAAACAGTTGTTGTTAGTTAATCCAAACTTTAAGGTGAAGTTTATTAATCGTGAAGCGAATATAGTTGTCCACTCGTTAGCGAAAGTGGCTAATTCTAATAAAAGTTGATGATTTATTTAAAAAAATATAATAGTGTATTTATTAAAAGTATAATATATGACAATCCAAAGTGACTGAGGGTTGTGAGATTTTAACGTGTGTGTAAAATTGAGAGCTATATCATGTAAGGGTGACAAGTTGTGCCTCCGGTTTCTTTGTCCTACTAAAAATAAAAAACCAAATAAATGATATAATTCTCCAACAAATTTCAAGTCATTAAGAAAATGTAAACTGAACAAAAGAATTACATTCTTGTCCCTATGAATTCTTAACATTTTATGATTATACAATCAATCAACTTTACTCTATCTCATTTCTTATCAGCTGATATAGTTCTTTCAACTGATAATCTGATATAAGTACTTAAAATCGCTAAGATTCTGTTTGGATAAACAGCTTAAGTAAACGCTTATCATATAAGTAGTTGTGTATAAATTGTTCATATCTTAAAGTACTTACAAAAATAAGCGGAAAACACCTTATAGCATTGTCACAAGCTGTTTTCGTAAGTGTTTATAACAATAAGTCAATCGAAACAGACTTAAACATTGGTGTCAAAAACAAGTTTTGTTTTAGCTAACTTGTTCACCAATCAAGTCCAAACCCATTACAAGAAATGACAAACCTTGAAAAAGCAAAAAGTAAAAATGAACACCATGTTCTGATAAAAGACTTCTAGCAGAAGCAGTGAGTAAAAGAAAAGCAAGTGCTAATTCTTTCCTATAGAGTTTGTTTCTCTTCTTCTTTACAATCACTTCTGATTTCTGAAGTTTTCCTAATAACTCCAAACCAGATTCCGAATGTCTTCTATGAAGCTTGTCTTCATTCGAAGACTTTGATTCTCTTTCGGCTAACGCAAACAAATCAGACTCGGATGATCTACCTGTTTTCTTTGTCACAACCCATTCGTAAGCACTTCCGAGTTGAAATAATCCGGAAACCATTGCGTTGAACTTTGTAACCGACATTGTGTTCTCGAAAAGAAGATATGGGACGAGGAAAGGGACGGATTTTGGTGATGGAAGGATGTTTATGAATGACATGACGATAGGGACGTAACATATTACCCAGAGAGGTAGTTCTGCTTCAGGTATGAACATTGTTAAGGGTAGAATAATGCAGAATAAGGTGAATGAGTAGAAGGGAAGTATAAGTTTCCTCAATAAGAAGAACAAGAATATTAGATTTGCCTTCTTCCAAATTGATATCTGCAACAAATAGCAAACCAAAATTCAGAAAACTTATAGTATAAATAAGCACTTATAGTATAAATGTTTTTATCATATAAAGTCGGGGAAAAAAGAAGGAAAATGAACAATACCTTTGAAGATATAACAGCAGGAAGACAAAGCCTAAAAAGTTGCATAGGACCAGAATGCCACCGATGTTGTTGTTTCTTATAAGCTTCATAAGATTCAGGTAATTCACAAAGAACTTTAACATCATTAAGATATATAAATTTCCATCCATTCAAATGTGCCCTTACTGCTATATCCATGTCCTCGACTGTTGTCCTCTCCAACCACCCTCCTGAATCTTCCAAAGCCTCAATCCTCCAAACACCGGCCGTTCCGTTGAATCCAAAGAAATTCAAGAAATGACCATTCACTTGTTGTTCAACTTCAAAGTGAAAACACAAGTTGATGTTTTGAAGCCTCGTCAGAAGATTCTCGTCTTTGTTCACGTATGACCATCTTGCTTGTACTAATCCCAACTCAGGTTTTCCCTATAAACATAAATGTCACAAAATCATTATCGCTGTTAACTTCTGGTGTTTCCTTTTTCCATTTTCACATACAAAATATGTATCAGAGTAGGGGTGGGAATAGGCTAGACAGTAGACTCCTGTTAGTTTTTCTGACCTAAGTCTGTGTAGGCTAAGCCGTAGGCTCCTGTTAGTTGGTGTGTCCTATTCCCACCCATATATCAGAGAAAATATTTTGAAATTTTTGACAGAATTATAATGCATACCTTGAAATGAGGAATGGTTAGTTTGAGGTAATCAGGATTTGGCTGAAAATCTGCATCAAATATTGCGACGAATTCATAATCTTTGACATAGTCACATGACATAGCTGACTTAAGATTTCCAGCTTTATAACCAGTTCTAATCAATCTATGTCGATAAACAATGTTGACGCCTTTTTCTTTCCAAGATGAAACCTCGTCTTTGATAAGCATCTGTAAATTAGGATCATCTGAATCATCCAAGACTTGAACTAGTATTCTGTCTTTTGGCCAATCAAGTTCACAAGCAGCGCCAATGGATTGCGAATAAACCTTCAATCAAAAGAGAAAACAAGGGGGAAAAAAAAGTGTCAGCATCAAATGTAAAATTGGAAAACCAAGTTTTTGAGTTCAAATGACTAATGAGCTCGATAAATGTTGAATCGAACGGGAGGACTCGAATTTGAACTCTGATTGGAACAATCATTAGTTCGACTTTACTTACTACTACCATTTCCAAGAATTAAAGGTTTAAGACAAAATAAAACGTGAGATTCGAATAACACTACCGAATTCCTATCATAATTCAATCCAATATACACATAAATTCAAATCAGTCACGACTACCGATTACAAACTTTGGCTCGAACAATCTTTAGCCAGACATTACTTACCAGCCAAATTCCAGATTACCAGACCCCTTTGCCCCGGAAACCAAACAATTAGGCCAAAATAACATAAAATTGGAAAATCGTTTATAAATCAAGCTACCAAATTGCAATAATCATCAAATCCAATATGCACACAACCCTGTTTGAAAAAAAGCATAAACCATAGATTAGTTACCTCTCTCTCATTACACATTGGAATCTGAACAAGAACCATAGGAAAGCTCAAAGGATCCTCAACATCATAAACATCATCATCAAACGTAGGTTTCAACTTCTTATACTTGATCCAGAAGCATCCAACGCAAAGCACAAGTCGATCTAAAGACTGAATCAAGAACAGCAAAATACAAAACTTGGACACAAGCAAAACCAAAGGACCAACATAGTCCTCTCTAAAAGACAACCAACCAAGATAAAACCATTGCAAGAGACTCTTCACCTCCCACGGTTGAAACACAAGCAAATTCCATTGATTGAAATGAGCAATGATTTCAACAACCAAAGCAAGGATTGAAAGAGCTAGAAAAAACTTGATGAATCTGTATAACCTCGTTGTGTTCTTTGGATTCTCATCAGCTATATCAGACAATGAAACTCTCTTTTTCACCAAAGAAAACATTGATTTGAGACCGTTTGTTAACCATGTTAAACATGTTACAAGTTTGTGGAGTTTAAGGAGAATAACCCATGTAAACTGTTTTGTACTTGCTGATTTTTTTTGCTTTTCTTGAAAGATTGGAGAATCCAAATCATGGACTTGTAACAAACTGAAATCATTAGCTTTGTCAGTTGCAATTGTAACTGAATTTGGTGCCATCACTATAAAAAATAAAAAATAAAAACTTTTTTTTTGGTATCAAAACCAAAAAAAAGAAATGAATTTTGAGTTGATGGGTTTGATAATTAATGGTGACCAATGATGTATGAACACTAAAGGGTCATGGTTATATTTTAAGGTTTTTTTTTGGTATGTGTGATTGGATTTTGAAAAATGAATCAAGAAAATCAATGAGATTTGTTATGGAATTTTGTGAATAAGAGAGTAAGTTTAGAGAGAGAGAGAGAGAGGACTAGTTTGAGAGACTAAAGCAAGGTATTAATAATGCTTTCAAAGTAAGAATAATAAGAACTAAAGAACAGCTTCTTTTTTATGTCTCATAATGCTAAAAGACAGCTTTAAAATCTTTTGAGTTTTACTTAATTTAGATTTGGATTTACGCGGTCAAAATATTTAATCACTTATATGAAAAGCTGATATTTTTGTCTGATTTAGATCTAACGATCAGATCTTATCCAAACATATATTTTGGATAATTATACTTTTTTTTTTACTATGTCATATATTTTTAGAACAAAGTGACTCATTTTGATTGGTTAATTGACAAGTTGAGGTAAGTTGGAAAGAACAGGCTGGCACATGTAAGTTATCTCACTCTAGTTTTCAACAGCACACCAAATTTTTTTGTATAAATAAATAAATAAAAACAGCTCAGCAATTTAAAGTTTTGCTTTTTCTTTTTCTTTTGTTTTTTTAAGGTGACAATAAGATACAGCTAAAGTGCAGATCATTTCCACAATGGAAAATGCTTATTGTATGATTAGCTAAAGAATTGAAAATGAAACACCACAGAAATTTCCTTTTTTTTTTCTCTGTCACAATTCAGATGTTTCTTAATAATAGTAATAATTTATTTGATTCTTTTGAAATAAAGATACTGTAGTTTATTTTATTAGTTAATGATTTCTTCTGGATATTCCATTCAATAATTACACTCGGTGCGTTGTATTGTAGTGTGTTTACCCGATTTTTATAAATATGTTTATCTAATTGATTGATTTTTTATAATATTTATTATAATCTGACAAATTATTTTTTTTAGTAACATTGAAATTGAAAAATAATAAAATATATAATCAAAACAATTGTTCAATACACAATTTTTTTTAAAGTAACCAAAATTTACCATTAAAATATCACAATAATTATGAAAATTCATAATTAACTAAAATATTCTTGTTTCAAATAAAAAAATTTCGTATTATAGATGAGATGTCACTTAATATCGCATACATAGACACCATAAATTTTGGTGCATACACTGTTATTGGACTGACACATGTAATCTTGGTTGAGTTACAGGTAGGTAGGTTGGTCGTTGAAATGGAATATTGACTTGTTTTGAAATCGAAATAATGGTTGTTGTGGTGTTGGGTAGGCATGTGTTGGTTGGGTGCTTTGACGGTGTGATGTTTGGGCACTTTGGTGGTGTGATGTTTGATGTTTGTTGGTTGGATGCTATGGTAGGATGTGGTGGTATCATATGCCTCATCGGTGTTGTGATAAGATGTGGTGGCGACATATATTTATTGGTGGTATGTGGTCCACTGTCAGTTTTAACTGACTCCCAAAACTGAGTTGATTCGTTATTCTCAATCGCACTAGTGAACACTGAAACAAACCTATCAATTCTTCTAATTTTTCCCGTCTTAAATCTCTCAGTCCAACCAACGAATCAAGCTCCTCTCAAGATACTCGAAAGTTTGAGTGTTTCAAAGTCAGATCTTCATCAGAGGCTTGAGAATCGAATAATAAACATGAGCATCTCTTTTAAAAATCATGATAGAACAAATAATAAGTTATTGAGTACTTTTTGGATATGCAATATAAAGGTATACAACAAAATTTGGATTCCACCAAAGATCTGTTGTGGAAAGCACTTTCTCCTTTGATTTTGTCTACCAAATTCAGGCACACCACCAAATTTCTTCTCTAGACCATTCAATGTTCATACTTTAAAAATAATGATGATTGATGATTGTGTGTAGTTTACTATTAATTTGCAAAACTAGGCTGAATAAAGGCTATGCTTTTGTTAATTTCACTAAGCCTAAACAGGAGTAGGAATTTGTTGTAATATTGTGTTTTAATATTCTTTATAAACAATGTAACCATAAAAAAAAATATATCTTGCACCTCGGTGTTCCTAAAAATCGAAGGGATATTTTCGTGTTAAAGTTGAGAATATTTGTCACTGTCTTTAATCAAATCCTTGCCGATCATTTCATGACTATCAACGTTCAAGACACTACCATTAGTGATCTCCGTGAAACATAGATTAACTTCCATTACAAAAGCATTCTGAATATCAAAAATTGATAATGAAACATCATGAAGCGCTTTAAACTATCCTCCACTTTAAGATATGCAAAAGTCTTTGTCATGAAGAGTTCTTTATGATGGATCGCAAGAGTAAAAAATTATGTGGGTTTAAGGTTTGGGTACTTAAATATTTATTTGAGAAGAAAATTATTTATTTATCTAACTCTTTTATCTAACCTTTTTTGTTGATATCATAAACAAATGCAAGGAAAATCCATAGAAAATATATTGTTTCTCAGCATTTGATCTTCCCAGGATATCAAGGATTTAAAGATCCAACATATGATCTTCACCGACAACTTAATTTTCATTTTGATATTTTGTGTAAACAATGTAACCAGTTTAATATTCTGGGTAAATATTGTATTTTGAAAATAAATTATTTTATTAATTTTCTGTGTAAACAATGTAACCAGTTTAAATTTAAAAAAATACAAATAATTTACTCCTCGATTTTATTGATAACTCGAGATACATGAAGCACTATTATTGTAAATAATAAAAATACAGTTGTTGGCGTTCGAACCTATGCGCAATTATAATACCCCTCGGTGTTTTAAACACCGAGGTGCTAAGTCCATACTTTTATGACGACTTTATTTACCTCGCTTTTATAACCGAGGTAAAACGCATTTCTCGTCCGATGTTATAAGGACTTTTTGTAGTTGTGCCTGCACTTTCGTCCTTTTCTCTTTGGAGGAAATTAAATTTTATTTATGTGGACCATTTTAATATCATTATTCTTTTCTCTATTGACAATTTTTATTTTGAGTTTTTATTCAATAGAAGATTCCTCAACCAAGGGGTGTCCTTTGTCTTTCCATTTCTGCCTTATGGCCTTAGACATATAGTGGACCGCACTAGAGAGCCTTTAATATTATCAATGACTGATCTAGAAGAGGGATCCCCTTGCCATCATTGATGGCTCTTTTAAGGGCTTCGTAAATCCTCTAAGGGAGAGAATCTTTCTTTTTTGTGCTTGTTGTTCAAGTGATTTTATTTTTTTCTCAAAAAGGTTATGTCCTTTTATGCATCGAACATGTGTGTATGTGGTCTAACATTATTGATGTTTAGTTTTTTAGTGGACCATTTGTTTATGAGAGAAATAGTGAGAATGCTCCTAATAGTCATTAGCTTAATAATTAGATAAAAAAGTTTCATGGAACTCAAAACCATGCACTTGATGATCAATCTAACATTATATTTGTTCACAATGCCATAAGCATTCTCTTTGACATGTAACACCCACTTATAACCGATAGTTTTACTATTATGAAAAGGTGGCACAAGGGACAAAGTGTTATTTTTTTCTCAATAGATGGGTACTTGTTCTTCATGGAAACAAAATTCATTAGGTGTTTCATAGTTTGTGTAAAAATTTTAAGTTCATAATAGGCAAGAAATGTATAGAGAAGTTAGAAAAGATGAATGTCACTTTTGATTTTAGTTTACATGGCTTAGAGGTTTGTTTCGTGGTGTGTTGACATTATATGTACTTTGTAGATGGACAATGTGTATAGTAGTCATGCTTGTGGATATGGAAACAATAGTATTAATGGGTGTGCTATGGGTAGCAACGGATGTAGCATACTATGTATAAGATACACATCACTCAAAAAGACATATTCACAAAATTTGAGAGACGAATTAGCATGACTACGAAGGATTAAACAAATATTAACTATATGTCAATATTTTTGTTCAAATGTGTAATTTTGTAGATTATTATGAGAACTAATGAGTCTAAAAAAAATCTTCTTTCTTAAGGATTTTACTTGCTAAAAATTCAATAGTGAGAGAATGAGAACTTGCTAAGGTGATGATTATGGGATATCCTGTGTTTCTCCATGAAAGTTATATATCCCCCTCTAACCTTAGAGTCTAGGGAATTTATAGAGATCCAATAGACTTATCTAGGAGTTGTTTAGATAATTTCATCATTAAGAATGTAGGGCAGAGAAGACTCGTTTCCCAAAATCAAGGGGAGACAATTTTCCTCCTTCATTGAAATCCTTCCACCATTATTCCACACGTTATAAGTGAGGCATATTATGGGTGGTGGATCCAAGTCCCGTTGGTAAGACCACCATACCATTCAGACGACCATATCCTTTCGGGCTCCCAAGTCTATTTTAGGCGTCTAAGCCCTTTCCTGTCTTCTAACTTGGTTTTTCCATAAGTTATTTAGTCATGAACCAATCCCTTATTCGGACCCAAATAAATTATACCATTTTACAACCCCTCAACCATGGGGACTTGGAAATGACGAAGTGATTTAATTTCAACATATTTTCTTCCTAAAATTCCATGATTTCATCAAGTGAAGCACATAGCAGTTCCTCAAGCGGAGCTTGTGGCGAGCCCCTCAAGAGAAGCATGGGTAGAGTCCCTCAAGAAAAGCATGGTGTGAGCCCCTTAATCAAAACATGAGTCGAGTCCCTCAAGCACAACCTAAGGCATCATGTGTCGTATTACATGCTTTTTATAAAAGATTTGTCTTGGGAAGCCAAGTTTGTAAAGGACCCTTGGTTCGCTGACATGTGTCAAGACATAAGACGTGTGGTGATTCATTATGAAACTAGTGGTGTGTTCCTAGCATAATAATAGCATATCCTATGTGACCTAGGTTTTATGCCCTTATAAAAGCAGATCCTCGG